CTTGTTTTTTAATGCAGCATAGTATTCCATTGAAACGGGACTTTTGAACCAGGTCTTCAAAGACAAGCAATATTGGTATGCCTGGGACTTGGGACGGGAGGTGCATTTTTAGCAGAGGAAACAACGACAAAAGCAAGCTGAGGGGAAAGTGCATACTGAGTTATTCAAATTTACTCTGTTCTTGACTTCTGATGGAGGAGGCCATGTCCTGGGCCACATATTGATGGACGAGGTAAAGCGTGTGATTCTCAAGTCCAGATAGGGCAAAGTTATCCATTTTTCATGGCCTTTCCCATGTATTCCAGGAAGATTCTGAAGGATAGATTATTAGAGATGGAGTTACTGAGACAAATGATGGCTGCATTTCATCTGTGGAAGACAGGGCCAGCTGTCATCTGTCTTGGAGCACTGGTAGCCTAGTGGCAAGAAACTGCAATTCTGATCCATCAGCTCCTCTGTGGGAGAAAGATCGTGTGATTAACTGGCTCTGAAAACCTGCTAGAGGGTTGGCTATGATTCAGATCCAACTCAGTGGTACACAACAGCAACAACTGTAACATAAGTACCACACGTAGGGGGCTTTCAAGAACAGAGTTTATTTTCTCATAGTTCAGGAGGCTAGAAGTCCAAATCAGGGTATCAGCCATGTTGCTTCCTTCCATGGGCACCTTTCAGAGGCTGCCACCAGTCTTTAGCATTGCCTAGTGTTTCTTGGCATCGGTCTTCTCCTTGCACATATTTATCCACACATTCCACTTTATCATTATTTTATTACTTGGAAGTGATTTTTTTTACCCAACCCATAATGGCATGGCCTCATTAACATAACAAAAGACTATCTTATTTCAAAACAGAATTGCAGCCATGGGTACAGGGTCCAGAATTCAACAACATATATTTTCTGGGGACACAATTAAATACCCTTCATGGGGCACCTCCTACCTGTTCTTTAGTGAAAGGTCTGTTAACACTCTTCGTCCTCGTGGCCAAAATCTTCCCCTGACTCTGACAGTGAGCTTTTAGGCTCACGCGCTCTGTAGCACCTAGCTCTGCCTGGTCATGGTCGACATGGGAAAGTGCTGTTACTGTTCTGTTTTTCCAGTGTGTGAGCAGGCTTTCTGATTCCTCCAGAACAGGCTGGGCTCCCTTCTTCTGTGCCCCTCCTTAACTCCTCATGCCCCTATCTCCTCCACTCACTGAGTGCCCTCTGAGGCTGATGGCTGAGTGCCCTATTGCACTCGAAGGTCTCTAACAGCAGTTTGGTGCATGACTCCGAGGCTGCTCAGCCATGGTCAGTGTAATGGTCAGAAGGGGGGACTGTGTATCCTGTTGTTCCTACTCTTCCCATGGCACAGAGCCATATCAACCACAAATGGCAGTGCTGCTGCTGATAGTTGTTGCTGTTGTTAGGTGCCATTGAATCAAGTATGACTCATAGTGACCCTGTGAACAACAGCCTTGAACCCTCTCCTGTCCTGTGCCATCCTCATCATCGCAGGAATACTTAAGCCCATTGCTGCAGTCACTGTGTCAATCCATCTGGCTGAGGGGTTTCCTTACTTTCGCTGACCCTCCACCTTTTCAAGTATGAGGTCCCTTTCCAAGGAGTACCTAGCAGAAAGTCCAAATATGAGAGACAAAGCTGTGTCATCTTTGCCTCCAATAGTGGTTGCCATCAATTTCAACCCATGTGACCCCCCACGTGGAGCAGAACTGCTGCAAAATCTTTCCAGAGCAGAAAATTAGGCTTGTCCCCCAAGGGGCCTCTGGGTGGGTTTGAACAGCTAAACTTTCCTCTGGTAGTCAAGCACTTTATTGTTTCTTTTCCCCAGGGAAGTCTCAAAAGACAATAAGACTGCTTGAAAGCTCAACCCACAAATCTTGTATATCTTATTTATTTTCTGTATTATATATTCTGTATTAGAAATAAAGCGAATATCTTATATTCACTAGCTCTGGTGGCCTAGAGGTAAGAATTTGCACTGCAATTCCAAAGGCAGGCGGTTCGAACCCACCAGCTGTTCTGCAAGAGAAGGATGGGCAATTTCCTCCCGCGGGAGTTAAGCCTTTGAAAACCTGCTGGAGGGTCAGCTCTGGGTCGATATCGACTTGATGGTACACAACAACAATGACTTGCTTTGATAAGGGTACATGTAACAGTGTCACTCATTGTCTGGTGGCACATTGTATGTGTCACTCATGGTTTCTGAATTGTGGTTTTATTTTACAATATTACATGTACCACCCACAGAGCATGGGAGAGGCAGAGCTGGGGCCTGATCCCAGTGCAGGATCTGCCAATTCCGGCTCCCTCCTGGCTGGGGCAGAATTAGCTGTGCCCACAGCGAGTGCCTGGCTCTGTTTGACAGGAAGTGGCCTCGCCTCGGTGGTGGGCAAACACAGCTGTTCAGGGAGAGGTAGAAAGGAATGCCAAGCCCCTGTGCAAGGCTGAATGTCTGTGTTCCATCTTTCCAGGCTCTGTCCATGGAGAGAACCCTCACGGTGCTGCGGGTGGCCCTGTACCACCCCACACAGGTCCCAGCTGCTTTCTCCAGCGTCCCACCACGGTTGCAGCATGATACCAGCCCGCTGCTTGTCGGCCGGGGACAGAAGGCCCACCTTCAGCTGAAGCTCCCCCACCTCTCCCGCAGGCACCTATCCCTGGAGCCCTACCGGGAGAGAGGCAGCGCTGTACTCTCCTTTTGCCTCAAGGTCCTGAGCCACAAAGGCAGCATGTGGGTCAACGGGCTGAGGCTCCGGTATCTGGAGCAGGTCCCTCTGAGCACTTTCAACAGGATCACCTTCTCTGGTGTCCAGATGCTGATCCACGTGGAGGTGGGTGTTTCCCTCGAAGCCTTTGTGTGCTGCTTCCATCTCAGCCCAGCACCCCTGATTTACAGGCTTGAGGCCGAGGAGACTGATGAAGATGAAATCATACCCCAGCAGCAGCCTCCCCAGGACTCGGGGGAGCGGACGCCAGCTCACCTGGGAGTTCTCCAAGGCCCTTCTCAGACTCAAGACAGTTCTCCCCAGCCAAGCCCTGGAAGAGCAGAAATACAGCTCCAGAGGGAGGCCCCAGAAGATGCACACTGCTAGTTCAGCTGCAGAGAACTAGTCTTCACTAAAACAGGACCTGAAATATTTTTGTTACATCACCGCAGGTTGACGATGAGGCCTGCTGTTTGCCTAGCTCATAATGAGCCCCTTCTGCAAACATGAGTAGTTGGGGGTGGGGCTACAGCTATGCAAGGTAACGGGAACTTCATCTACTTTAGAGGCCCTAAGGGGGCCTGGGGAGCCTCCCTCAGCCTTTCCCCACATCCCCCTCTCCTGTTTGACTAGGAGTTACTTTATGTTGCTAATTTTGTGTGCCGCTTAAGAGCTGGCAGTTTGAGGCTGCACCAGGAATACTTGGACACATGTAACAATTACGTTTGTGGTAGCTCTGGGTTACCTTCAGCTTTCAAATACCCACAGGCACTTGGGGCTTAGGGAAGCCTGCATTTAATAAACGGCAAGTATTTCATTAAGCTGGCATACCCAGTAGGATCAGGGGTTCCCAGATGTGTGCACAAGGCGTTGTCACGCAGAGGCATGGCGGGAAAGTTGGGAGAGGTGTCAGAGGAAATTGGAAAGGTAGGGGCTCACGTTTCTTGAAAGGATCTGGGCATGGCTCAAGGCTGCCTGAGGAGTGGGTGCTGGGGCAGGGTCTGCCCGGAAGCACATAGTCACCATCTTCCTCATCCTCATATGCTCCCTCTCCTCAGACAGACACTTGCATATCAAAGCCCAAGTTGACCAGGGACAAAGGATTTCAAGACAGTTCTCCAGAGCACTGGGCTCTCTTAGGATGAATTCTAGGAGGAAGTAATGATGGAGTGTTGTATAAGCTCAGTATTTATTTTACCCAGGACATGTCATATACTGGTGATGCTTCCAAAGGGGGCCTGGCAAGAACAGAGTGGGGGTGGGGAATCTTCTCAGTGAACCCAGGGAACAGAGTGTAGTGCTTGTGGCCATACCACCCTTAGATGGTGTACAGGAACAGCATTTACCTGTTTAAAATATATAATCCAGAGGGTCTCTGTAATCTTAGAGCCTCATGGAAGAGGTGAAGTGGTGTTGAAGGAACAGGTGCTGTGTTTGGTTTGCATCTTGGAGTCAAGGACCATCTCTAAAAAGGCTGCCAACATTCCCTCGTTCTCACTTAAGAAGAAACATCTCTTTGCTCCCAGGCCTGCGAGGAGGTCCGCTTCCACTCTCAGGCCTGTGTGTGTACTTTCTCCCCTGGAAAGTCAGAAACAGGCAAGACTCAGGCCTGTCCTTCCTGGAGTCAATTACCTTCCAAAAGAGAGTGAAGCCTGTGTGTGCGGGCCGTCACCGGGCAGGGATAGCCAGGATTTCAAGGGGCAGCAGCGCCCAGTGCTGTGTGATGGTTCTTCCTCTGCCAGCAGACCCTCCCTCATCCACTCAGTAGACTCCCCAGGTACCCACCTTGTGGTGCTGTGAAAAGACCTAGTGACCCGCAGTGACAAGGCAGCACAGTTTTTGCCTTTACGGAGCTTACACTGGACTCAGAAAAAAAAAACAACCCAAGAATCCCGGAGTTAATTACATAATTAACTGCAAGCTAGCACAGCCACTGATGGCCTTCTTCTCATTTTGTGTCTTCTCTCCTCATAGTGAGACTAGTGAGGGCTGTATTACAACATAGCCACGTGCTCGCTGTGGGCTCAGCCTTCTGTTTGGTGCCCGTGAATTCTTCTGCTATCTCAGATCAGCAAGGTTCTTCACTACATTTTACAGTTGAAGAAACCAGGATTCAGCAAGGGTCATTATCTGGTCCAATGTCACACCAATGTCTTCTCATTTGCCTCTGGCTTCTGTGGAAAACAATACAAACCTGCTGGAGCTGCTGGGAGGGTTGCAGAAGGTAACACTGCAAGCTGCAGGCAGTACTTACCACACAGTTGTTGTTGTTGTTGTTGTGTACCACTGAGTTGAACTGACTCACAGTTGACCCATCAGTAGGTTTTCAGAGGCAACAAATCTCAGGAGAGGAGGGGTTCCTCATCCTTTTCCCATAGTGCAGCTGGTGGGTTTGAACCATGTGCCTTTGAGATTGCAGTTCAGCTTCTAACCACAAGGCCTCCAAAGCTCTCAAACACACAGTTGTTGTTGTTGAATGCCATCGAGTCATAGGCAACTCATAGCGACTCTATGAACAAAAGATCTGAACATTTGTATAAGTTTCTTTGTTTTTCCAGGTTTGTAGGGTTTCCAGAGACAAGCTATTATGGAAGTGGATGCCACTCCTACTTCCAAGCTTGTTTTAGTCGGGGAGCTCCACCAAACACTGTCAGCCACGGGTGACCAATATCGCATTTGGCACATCAGTGTCACAGTGTTTAGCATCACAGCAACCACGAGTTATCTCTGTAGAGCAATACACACACCAGTGTTATATCACCTAGAAGAATTTTTTTCTTTTTTTTTTTTACCTAGAAGAATTTTTGACCAAAAATAATTAAAAGAGAAAGGCATAAGAGTGCCTCCTCAAGATGCCAGAGACCACACAGTAAGTGCTCAAATTACTATCATGTGATCCGAGTGGTAATTCGTAGGTACAGATCCAACAGCTCACCTCAGGCATGCGCATAAGGCTAAGGAGGACTCAAACCCCAAACCCCAGCAAACTGGCTCCAGCTTTTACCAAGGGCTTACACCGCTTTGGGATTTCATGTCTGAGGACCTTGCCTTGGTTATGGGCCTTGCATGTGGGCAATCATGTTCCTTGCACCAGACAGCCTGCTATTCAGGGTTCGTAGAATGTAGTCACTTTGTCAGGGCTTCTGAGGAGAAGCCTTATATGGTTTGGCTTGACTGAGTCCACTGACTTGCTGCTGTCTTCGTATTTCACATTTAAAAAAAAAATCTACACGTAACAATGATCCCTCCAAAGACCAAATCCTCCCGAAGCCCTGTATCTGGAGGTTCACACAGAGAACACAATAAACCACAACCTAAGCCAGCCTGAACACCAAAGTCCAGAGCGAGGAAGCTGACCAGGTGTCCCAAGATCTCAGGACGCTGCTCCCGTGAGCTGGGGGCCTTCAGGACAAGTCCTGTTTCTGGGCCCCCTAGCAGGGTTCTCAGTCATCTGTGAGAATGGGAGGGTTTCTTCTCCCTCTCACAAAGCACACACACCCTCCCAGCTGAGGTTCTCCAAGAGGGAACAGAAGCTTCCTCCATGGGGATATCTGTGCACCTAGAATGAACCTCTCAGTAGACCGAGGGATTGACAGGGTTGACGGGTGGGAGCAAAGCCAGGAAGCCTCCAACCTGCTTGTTTCAGAGACAACCAATTCATAAAACCTCCCCAGGAGACTCACTTCTTGCCTTGGCTCCGATTTCCAGGCCCAGAAAGCTCTGCTCTATCCTCGTCTCCATCTCCCTAAGCAGGAAAATCCCCCATGATTGTTAGGTTCATGACACTCACCCGCACTCTCTCTTAGCAACTGGCATCATGGCCCCAGCCTCTGAGCGGATACCACTCTCTTTAGCCTGCAGAGACAGCCTGAGCAGGTTAGCAAGTCCCTTCCAACTATCTCTTCTACCTTCTCTCAGCTCTCAAGCACAGGGAGACCACGTGGTTTGGAGGTTCACACGGACACGCACATAAATGCACAGACTCTGTGGCAGTGACACGCACGTTGTGTCTCTGGAGCCCGACTGGATTAGAATTCTTGCCACACCACCTAGTCATGCTGTGACCTTGGACACTTGACTGAATCTCCCTGTGTCTTGGTTTTTCTTCAGGGGAATGGGAAAGCTAGCAGTACCTACCACTTTGGAGTTAGATGGGTTAGAATATGTGAGGCACCGAGGGCGGTGCCCGGTACACAGTAAGTGGGAATGGTAAGACCAGCTCACTGGCCTTAGACATATCACCAGGAAAGACTAATAGAAAGGAAAGGGCATCATGTTTGGTAAAATAGTTGTTGCCATAAACTCTGAATAGGCACAAGAGCCACCATAATGAACTCGAGCATGCTGCCATCATGAAGAAAGAATGGGACCAGGTAGCACTTGTTCTGTTCTGCACAAGGTCATCAACTTGACAACAACTGGAAACAACAGCACTAGTGTCCAACTGAATGGAATCAATTTAGTGTATGCAGACACTTGGAAACTGTGTGCACACACGCACACATCCTGCTACAAGGAGCTACATAAATTACATTCAGGCATATACCCTAGAGCACTACAATTCTCTGAGACCATGTCTGGAAATTCAGAAATCATCCCCTGTGCCCTTTAAGGCATTCAGCCTTCGCATTCCTCTGTTTTTCTTAGAATGTGAATCTTCCCAGGCTGTCTGGAAGTGAGACACCTTGTCCCCTGGAGCCTGTGTGTCAAGGGAGTCATGCTTGGGCTCCATAAACAGCCGCAGTGCGGGGCTCGCAGACATGGTGAGGAAGTGCAACAGACGCTGAAAACCACCTCAGTCCTGAGCGGAGGGAGGCAGGCTGCCGACCAGGTGGAGCAGGCCAATCCCTCCTCAGGCCATCAGCGCACTGAGTCCACGTTCTCCAAATCCTCTGTCCAGAGAAGCCACAGCTCCACACAGATGAGCCTGCCACGTTGTTCAGTGCTGGGTTCCAGTGGCCACCACAAACCTGGGTACAGACAGATTGACAAACAGATGGGCCCTAGTAGGCAAGGGAGCAAGCACCTGAGTTGTGCTGAAGTGCGAGCCAGGCTTGTCTGGCCAGGCAGGGGCAGGGCTGGGGTCTGCAGCTATGGTGGAAGCTGAGCATCCAGCAGTGACAAGGTCACAAAACCTTAGGAACACAGAACACAGTGGTGAATGCTTCTTGCCTCCTCTAAACCTCAGTGCGGTGACCCAGAGCCTGTGGCTAGGACAGAACAAGGTTGGTGTTTCTGCCTAATTCTTAAACTTCTAAAACTCAATCAGGCTCTGGTTTCTTGATTCCCTGGTGGTGATGGCTATGGGATGTTGATGCACTTGACAGGCCCCTGTCACCAAGGGAGCTCTCAGCCAGCACTTCCTTCCTCCAGCAGAGGTACACAAG